TTTTCTCTTTTGACTGCAGCATATCACTTATCCCTTCAGACTTGTGGCTGCCATTTTATCCATGAGGGGTACTTCCCAGAAGAATGCCTTTCTTAGACTGATCTGATTCTATGCACTGTGAATGTATGAGGAGTTTTTTAGCACTGCCATTTCTTCATGTGTGAGATATTCAAACACATTGGTCCACATTCAGAGTTGGCATAAGTAAGGGCAACTCCCCCAGGAAGTCTCTGATATAAATCAAGCAATGTCATGCACAAAAATAACATGTAGATGTAAATGATTCAGAAAATGTGCATAAATGGCAAAAGATACTGGTTTGCCATTTGTGAGTATGCCATACAAGTAGAGTATGCAAGAATTTTCACTATAATTGAAGACAGATTTTCAGAAAATCTCAGTTCGTATTTAAGCACCAAATTATATGACCAAATTTAGCTTTTGAGATACATATGTGGTACTCTGCACTTTTGAAAGTCCAGTCCCAATTGTAGATGCTAAGCACTTTATACTCTGGTCCTTATAGGCTAAGGAAATGAAAAGGACATCACGGCAGCCAAAGAGACAGAAAACCATCCCCAATACACGCACACACACCTGACAGCTGATTTTCCCATTTCATTCTTCTCACCTTACTGAATCATTTCCCATGTGACATGTACATTACTCTTGTATGCAGTGCGGTGGTAGCCATGTTGAGACCTGTATATCAGAGAGAAGGTGAATGAGATAACATCTTTTATTGGACCAACTTCTATGGGAGAGAGAGAGAAGCTTTTTGAACTTACACAGAGCTCTTCTTCAGATGAAAAAGTGTGAAGTGAAATAGTCTCTGGCTGCTGAAATAGTCTCTGGCTGCATTAACCTATGTAGGGAGTAGTACAAACTAGTATGAAGTAAAGTACACAGCAGCAGACAGGGCAAGTCCTAGAAACAGGTCACCTGAAGAGCTTGGTATAAACTTGAAAGCTTGTCTCTCTCACCAACAGAAAGTGATGCAATATGACATATTACCTCACCTGCCTTGTCTCTCTAGTGCGCACCACACTGTACCTCATCAATTTTTAATCACACTATTTGAAATGGATGATGTAGAGAAAACAACTTACAATGCACATTCATGACTTGGCGCCTAATTGGGATTAGACTGCCTGTATCCTTGGGTGCAAATTTTACCATATGGGTAGACAGATTATCTGTCTTCAAACCATCAGCAGGAACTACATATTCTAAGTCTTAACTGTACACTCAACTGTATTGATCCAGAAAGGGGCAGCCTCTGTCAGCTTACTCATAGAACTATAAAAATCCTGGTATCAAGTTGAAGATCCTCCGGTAGTTGCTGAAAATCTTTTGATTCTTTATTCTTTGAGCTTGTAATAGTGGGTGCTCTAAGTTGATGAAACAGAGTCGCTACACACTGACATGCAAAAATATAAATTTCAGTTTGAGAGCTACTACACCATGCCATCATTAAGCATCAGTCATTCTTCTGTGGCAATGAGTTATGAGGGAATCCTAAAAATCATATGCGACACAACGCCAGAAGGGGTTGAGTAACTTGAAAGGTAATTGACTCAGAATCAAACTTTAGGGTATCAGTATCTCTCCACAATGCAGCTTTTAGAGACAAGTCAGTGTTAGTGCAACCTTGCCACTAAAAGTCAGCTTGTTTGGATTCTGTTTTTCAACATTTTTGTCAAAAAATACTTCCAGAAGGGGAATTTAAAAAATAACAAATGGGGTTTTGGTTTGCTGACAGCAGAGCCCTCCTACCCACAAAGAAGCATTCAGACTTTCACTTTCTGCAGCAAGGCTTATTTATTTATGGGATTTCTTTAAATACACAAGAACAACAACAGTTTTGTCAATCAAGTGCAAATGAGGGCATCCCCTAGGAGACATAAGGTCGAGAAGTTCATCTATTTATATATATGTTGTTAGAGATTGACAGTGTAACCAGACAGTTCTGATCTAAAGCTTCAGAGGGGTAGCAGAGTTAGTCTGTACAGGATAAACTTTAAAAATAATAAATAGTCTGGCAGCACTTTAAAGACTAACAAAACATGCAGATGGTATCATGAGCTTTCGTGGGCACAACCTGGTCTAATCACTTGTATTCTGCTCATTCAGAGATCAAAAAGAGTTGTTAACATTTAAATGAACTGTGAAAGTAGTGATATCACTGTCTTCATTTCTCACTCAAGTATGTAGTAAACTATCTGTAAATGGGGAGAGATAAGCAATTGCCTTATGTTAATCAATGTAGATAATTATCCATGAAGCTTAAGAAATAGGACATCTACTTCAAAGACAGGATAATTGCCTATTGTTCACCCAAGGATGCACACTGTCAGGAAGCTATGGATGACCTGCCACAGAACTATAACAAAATTTTTGGGTCCCTATTCTTTTATCTCAGATCTGCTTAAGCTTCATCAGAGGAAATTTGAGTCACAAAACTAAGGTCTCCAGTTCCATTCTGGATTGCCTTGATGTTGGACATTGGATTGCAACCCGTGGATTAATTCTGGAAGAACTCTTCACAGCTCTAAAGCTCACCTTATCTACTATGAAGCAAAATGCAGGACAATGTAGCACTTTAAAGACTAACAAGATGGTTTATTAGATGATGAGCTTTCGTGGGCCAGACCCACTTCCTCAGATCAAATAGTGGAAGAAAGTAGTCACAACCATATATACCAAAGGATACAATTTAAAAAAATGAACAAATATGAAAAGGACAAATCACATTGCAGAACAGAAGGGGGATGCGGGGGGGTGGGAAGGGGGAGGAAGGAAGGTAAGTGTCTGTGAATTGCTGATATTAAAGGTAGGGAGAGTGGGATGTTTGTGAGTTAATGGTATTACAGGTGATAATTGGGGAAACTGTCTTGGTAATGGGTGAGAAAGTTCAAAGACTTGTTAAGTCCTTGTTGGTAAGTGTCGAATTTTAACATGAATGACAGTTCAGAGGATTCCCTTTCAAGTGCAGATGTAAAAGGTCTTTGTAGCAGAATGCAGGTGGCTAAGTCATTTAGAGAGTGTCCTTTCTGGTTAAAGTGGCAAGAAACTGTTTTCTCTTTGTGATCTTGTCTGATATCTGTTTTGTGGGCATTAATCCTTTGGCGAAGTGTCTGAGATGTTTGTCCAATGTACATAGCAGACGGACACTTTCGGCACATGATAGCATAGATTATATTTCTGGATGCGCAGGAATATGTGTTCTTGATCTTATAGCTCACTTGGTTAGGTCCAATAATGGTATCAGCAGAATGAATATGTGGACAAAGCTGGCAACGGGGTTTGTTGCAAGGGAAGGTACCAGGGTTGGTATTAGTGTGGTATGTCCTGTGGTGGTTGGTAAGAATGATCTTGAGGTTAGGTGGTTGTCTGTAGGAGACTATGGGTCTGTCTCCCAGAGGCTCTTTGAGTATGGTATCCTGTTCCAATATAGGCTGTAGTTTATTGATAATGTGTTGGACAGGTTTAAGTTGGGGGTTGTAGGTGATGACAAGTGGTGTTCTATTGTTGGTTTTCTTGGGTCTGTCTTGAAGTAGATGGTTTCTAGGTATTCGTCTGGCTCTTTCAATTTGCTTTTTTATTTCTCCGGGTGGGTAGTTGAGGTTTATAAATGCTTGGTAGAGATCCTGAAGCTTCTGGTCTCTGTCAGTGGGGTTAGAGCAGATGCGGTTGTATCGAAGGGCTTGGCTTTAGACGATGGATCGTGTGGTGTGTTCTGGATGGGAGCTGGATGCATGTAGGTAACTGTATGAGTCGGTGGGTTTTCTGTAGAGAGTGGTGTCTAATTTTCCATTGTTGATTTGTACTGTGGTGTCCAGGAAGTGGATCTCTCGTGTAGAATGGTCCAGGCTGAGGTTGATGGTAGAATAAAAATGGCCACCACGCTGTGCCAGCTCAGCTGTTTGGTGGCACAAAGCAGCAGTCAAGACGGGGATCAGTCGAAAAGGAAAGCCTTTGCCAACCGATCCTATAAAGCTTGTTGTGCTGAGCTGGCATAACGCGGCGACCATTTTTATTCTAATCAAGCGGGGGATATTTAAATCCCCGCTTCACTGACTATGTCTGTATGTCTAATTTACATGCCTCTGTCGGCAGAGGCATGTAGTCTAGACATACCCTCTCTCTCTTTTGTTAATATATTTCAGTTTAGTTAGTAAACATTGGCTATAAGCACATATTAGGGTAAGATCTGAAATATTCATTAAACTGGGTAATGTGTCTAATACTTTGGGATTGGCAGAATTTTTTATAGGATGAACAAGCTTTTCAGTAATTCTCATCATATTTGACTTGGCTGCCTGATGGGAGCTCAAAGCTGAGTTGCTTAAAAGGAACTATATTTCTGGCTTCTGGGTAACCAATAAGATATTGTAGAAACTCTTTTTTGTTGTTGACTTGGTGAATCTAAATATTAGTGTAGCCACCAGTTCTGGGATTGCCTGCACTCTTCATTACTGTTTGCCCTAATTGAGTAATCTCAACATGGGCTCCCAGGACTCCAATCACACCCACATAGGGATAGACCATGAATATGAACTTTGCCAAGAATCAACAATATAGGGATGGGAGAAATGTTATATGAAAAGTGTGATTCTGTTTTTGGAGACTGTATAAAGCATACATATTCTGGACTCAGTCAAAACATTGGAAAAAATAACACGTTTATCAGATGCCAATGAAAAGCACTTTTTTGTCTAATAACTTAGCAACATTAAGCAGCAACAGTTCAGCATCTCCAAAATGTAGCCCTCTGTAACTGGTAGTGTCATCACCTCACTTTATGAGCTGCAGTATCTGTCTCTCTGGCTACGTCTAGACTGCAAGCCTTTTTTGAAAGGCGTTCTTCCTGATAAAACAAGGTTTTCTACGGTCGAAAAAACTACTGCATTCTTTCGAAGTTTTTTTTTTTAAAGCCACTTAAAAAAACCCATAGTCTAGATACACCCTCCGTTATCACAGCAGTAAATGTAATTTACCTTGATGCAGTAGTCAATAATGTCCAAAACTTTGCCACAATGCCTTTTGTCATGTATGATTTATGCTCCTTTGTTCACATCACAATGCAAATTCCATTTCATTGGTCTGATCTCACAGCAAGTAACCTATGATGAAAACAAGTTGTGTGTAAGATAAAGGAGAAAAGCAACCACAGTATATATGATATTTCAATTTAAATAAAAATCCAACTTAATGAATAGAATCCTTAGAACAGGACAACCTTGTCCAAGTATCCAATGATATATTTGAGAAATGCTAAGGTCTCTTGATGTTTCATACTAAGAAAATTAAAATGAAAGGCAGAATAGTAGGCTAACTAAAATGGAACATTCCATCTCACTCAAATGGATAAAGTCAATTATAATCTCCCCCACCATCACACACACACTTCTGTATCTCTATCACAGCAGTATATTAACATTCCTATCAGCATCTCATGCTTGAGACTGTATAAATGAAAGAGTAAAAGATGGTTCCAGAATGACAGTTGGAATCATATTAAGACTAGATGGTTTAGCAGTGAAAAATGATGGGACAAGGAGGAGCAGAAATCAGTAACAGGAACAAGTATTTAAGTAAAGCAAATAAAGAACATAAACATATGAAATCTCTAGTGGATCTTCTGCTTAGCAACTGTCATATCCCATAGATATAATTGTGTTGGGTCTTATGGAAGGGGATATGGAAGAAGAAGGGATAATGGATTTAAGAGCTCAGATGGAGAATGTCCCTTACATAAAGGGTGGCATGGCACAAACCACAAAAGTGCTTGCAGAACAAGCGCTGGAGGCAGGGCACTGTTACCAGAATACAAAGGGAAACAACAATGAGAAACTGTGAGAGGAGCTAAGCTATGTAAACACCTGAGGGTTTAAAACCTGGGACATGGAGGGTCAGGGTTTCTTGACCCCTCCACATCACCACAGGGAGTTCAGGAGGGTTTTTGACTGAGCTGTGAAGCTAGGCACTGCAGAAAATACAGTGTCCCCCTCACCAGCCCACGGACCAATGCATGCCAGTATATAAACCAGGAAACCATTACAGGCAAATGTGTCAAACTTCCTCCTTGCTTCCACCCCCTGGACTCCAGCTCACGCCCCCAGCTCATCTCTGACTCTGCTACTTGCCTTCTATGCTATTCCCTGGTGTCTGGCCCCAATTTCGTGGCATCCTAACTCAGCTCTACTCAGACTTCATTACATGTCTCCTGGTCACAACTTGGAAATGACCCAATGCACAGCACTGTCCTGACAAGAAAGGAATTGTGAAGGACTGTCAGGGCCAGAACCAAAGCGAGATTATGCCCTAAGGTCACCCCTATTGGGTGATTACAGCAAAGTCTCATCAGTTCCAATTTAAAAAAAAGATGTAATCCTCATGTTTGAAAAGAAACATTTTAAAATGTGACACAAGCATAAGTGATCTATTATTGTCTGTCTGAGTCTGCAGGCAGGCTGAAACAATAGCTCTGAACTATGTAAACTGTACCACACATCTCAAGAGTTAGGGTACGTCTAGACTACAGGCTTTTGTCAACAGAACCCTGTAGTCTAGACAAACCCTTAGTCAACTTCAATAAGTATTCTTCTGTGTGTAGAACAGCAGCCTCTCTGGAATGGAGGGGTTAGTAAGCAGATTGAAGATAAAATCCTAGTGAGGAGAAGGGAGTTTGTCATTTCCACTTAAGAGTGCTGGTTGAGTTAAAGCTAAGGGGGATCTTTGCCTTACCATAACACTCTAATTTGTGTGAGGATTACAAAGTGCTTTGTCTTCCCTAGATTAGCTACCTCACCTGTTTTCATCGCAAAAACAAGGCCTGAGAAAGATCAAGGAAAGAGCTGGAATTGATGACAGAGAAATGGATAGAGAGTACAAGCATGGGAAACTGTTTGGGGGATAAGTTGTCAGAAGCAAAGATGAAGCAGAGGAAGAAGTAAATATGGATTTGAGGAGTAAATGATTGTGGAAGGTAGTAGAATCATAAGGAACAAGAAGGAAGAGTGAGGGACAGGAAAAGATTGTGGGAAAGACTGAAAAGACTGGAAAAGACTGAAATTTGGAGATCATAGCTGTGAGAGGGACATGCACAAGAGGAGCAAAAAATTAAACAAAGAAGCAAGGTGGTATGACTGAATACTGATGGCAAGTGAATGGTGGGACTGAAACCAAAACTAATTAGCAAGAACCAATAATGCAGTAAGTCAATTGGAAAAAGAACATAAGAACGGCCGTACTGGGTCAGATCAAAGGTCCATCTAGCCCAGTAGCCTGTCTGCTGACAGTGGCCAGCGTCAGGTACCCCGGAGGGAGTGGACTGAAGACAACGATCAAGTGATTTGTCTCACGCTATCCATCTCCAGCCTCTGACAAACAGAGGCCAAGGACACCATTCTAACCTCCTTGCCTTTTATGGACCTAACCTCCATGAATTTATCTAGCTTCTCTTTAAACTCTGTTATAGTTCTAGCCTTCACAGTCTCCTCTGGCAAGTAGTTCCATAGGTTGACTATGCGCTGTGTGAAGAAGAACTTTTCCTTATTAGTTTTACACCTGCTACCCAATAATTTTATTTGAAGAAAACTGTAAAACAATTTGTGCAGATAACCAACTGAGAACAAGGCAGTAGGTGGCTCTGATTGGAGCCTTGTCCAATGCTGGTCAGCTGACAGCAGCTGACAGATTGAGAGAGTTACAAGTAACTCACATTACTATGGCAGAAAGTCAGATAGACAATGCATAATCCTGCAATAGGCTGAGAGCTCTGGTCTGATCTGGTAAAGTACGTATAGGCCTCCCTCTTGCCTAGAAGGGGCCTGAATTTCAGTGGTTGCTGTATTTATACAGTTGTAAAACCCTTTGACATGAAAGGAACCATCAAAGTTCAGGGCAAAGGCACCAGTATTTCCCCTCAGTGGTTCAGGTAGGGCACCCATGGTCAGGCTTCCACTTCCCTGGCTAGTTTTCTTCAAGGCTGAACCATTCCCTGCCTGCACAGTTACTGCCAGCAGAGACAGTCTGTTCAAGCTGTCCCTCATGCTTTCTCTTCCGAGACAGTTAGTGGTGTGAAGCTAATTTACTCCGGCTGGAATAAACCAGCTAGATCTCCATGGTCTCTGGGTGCTTCTCTAATCAACAGATTTTATTTTAAAATAACATCTAGTGTCTGAAGTTTGCAACACCTTGGCTTCCAGTCAATAAGATTCAGTTTCTGATACCTCTGACAGGGCCGTGGTTGATAGGAAACACGGAAGAAGTACAAATAATGTTAAAGCACCATCTTCACCTGTATAAAAAGATTGTCAAGGCCATATAAACTACGGAAATAGTTAGCACATGGCTCTTCTATGCAGGCCTCCCTCATTCTGAAGGTGAAAGTTCTAGAGAGAGAACATATTCAAAACTGTAAAAGAACCTACCCCTATGTTACATGTTTGTGAGAGATCACACCAACTCTAACATGGGCTCTGGTAGCAGGAGTCTTTCAGCACCCCACCCCAGCACTTTC